AAGAGAGAGAAAGTCAGCAATGATCCCTCACAGCTAGAACCATGCAGTTGAAAGGGCTCAGTATCACGAACTGCTTCATGCTCCAGCACACACTGTGTTGGTGGGATATAGTCCTCTTCTATATGGCATCAGACAGGCTCATCAGCACAACCTTACGCACTCCTAAATATGCAGTGGGTCTTTCCCAAATGGGCTAACCCTTAGGAAAAGTCTTTGTCATTTCCAGCCCTGGTTACTTGGAAACAAAACATTTAGAGGGGAACCATAAGCAGTGTGTCATGAAAGGATTCAGTCTATAGGACTGCCCCTTCTGAATGACCGTCGAAGTGACCTTACTGAGGCCAGCACAGTACAGCACAGTACAGTCATCAAGATCCCGATTACTTGGAGTAGTAACATTCTCTTTCAGGATTTTTACAGAAGCGATGGGTTTCCTGGAACAAGAATAGTCACTGTATTTTCCTCTTCCAAATTTCTCCCCGCAGTTCAAGTGGGATGTGGCATCCCTCACTTCCTACCTTAGCTTCTGTTTTCTCTTCCCAAAAGACAGGATTTTTATATCAGAGTTGTCAACCTAGATTCACAAAGTATTAAGGTATCTAAAAACCCACTAAAACCCATATCTAAGTATTCTAGGATAAAGAAAAAAAAAACACTCGAGATATTTCTCACAATAACTGCAATTCATGGACAACAAGTGAGCAAGAATGCACAGAACAATCATGGATAGACTGGCCAAATTGTCAGTCACATCATAGGCTTCTTCGTTCACTTTTATCCACTTAAGAGAGCTGAATTTAGAAAGGAAGAGAGATCCACAAGGATCAAGGACAGGAAAAAAATAAAAAAAAAGACTGCTAGGAATGTGAATAATAAAGGATCTCTGGATAGTAGAAACTCAGCACTTTTCCTCTCCCCCAGTCCTCATGGCCTACAAAAAATGTTTAAGAGATTAATTTTGCTGTGCACCACTTATTAAGAAGTGATCCCCCTTCCTTCTTTTCAAGCCCTCTGAAAAATTTGTGCCATTGAAACAGCAGTCATTCCTAACTCTTCCCCTCAGGCATCCTTGTAGTCAACAGAAAATCCATACAATGATCACTGAGCTTTCAGGAGTGCACTCCACTTGCTCTTCAGTCACCACTCTCTCTTCTTCCTCAAACACATCCACTATTCCTTCTTCTGAACAGGAAGCATCATTGAAAAATTTCTGGCACAGGCAAAGTGTGCCAGGATATTTATACTACCAAAAGCTACCCTACCAAAAGCTGATATCCAGCCCATTGACCCACAGTCATCTGTAAAGTATTCAGCACATTGCTGTTGCAAAAGAAAGCAATCAGGTGGAAATATAAAAAAAAAACAAGTTAGAATGCATCCAAGGAATGGCCACTCTTTCTAGCTCTCTTACCATTTTGCCATCCTGGCCATCTCTACCTGGTGGTCCTCGGAGACCTTTATCACCTTTGAAACCTGGAATGCCGGGTAGTCCTGGAGGACCAGGGGGACAGTCACTGCACACATCCTAGGAAGGAAAAGTAACATTGAGAACTAAATGAACAACAGACTGGGGGCCTCTTACAGGCCCTGCAGACCCCAAGATGAATATAGCAGTGTGGTGCTAGAAGCACAGCCTACAGGCCTTTGCATTTCAACCATGCTGAGGGGCATGTGGGTTACTTTGACTTGTAGAACTGCAGCATGGAACACAGCAAAGGTCAGCTCTGAGTTCACACAGACGCCCAAGGGGAATTTCTTACCAGATGTGTTGGACAACACCTGTGTCATCATCCAGGATCAAGAAACAAGGGAAAAGCTTTTCCTAATGGGGAGATCGGACAGCCAAAAACCAATACTACCAAGAAAAACTCTGTTGCAAAGATGCAAGGCTTCAAGTCTACTTGAAGCTGTAGAAAACTGTCACAACTGTGTGAAAAAGTTTAGTTATAGCATAGGGGGCAGACTGTTAAGGAACACCCAGGTACAGCACAATGTCTGACTAGGTGTTTTGGAAAGGAAACTTCATTCATCAACTAGCATGTTGGAGAGCTTGGAGATTACGAAAAGCAAATATCTTCATGTCCTAGTCACATTCTGTCATGGAGAATTACAACCTCCCGCTTCAAAATACTCGTTGAAGCATCGTCTTGGTATATTACTTTTTACATTTCTACTGATCTCAAAAAATAGAAAAATAAAGAAAAGTATGACATTTCTATTTCAAAGATAGACTCCCTTCAGCAAGGGGGGTGAGCCCTGCTTATAAAGGACAGAATAGCCCAGTCACCAGATGACCAGAATGGTTGTTCAGAGATCTGGGTCCAAATTCCAGCTCTGGCAATGTTCTATTTTAAAACAATGAGATAACTACCTTTCTGAGCATCTTTACGTATTTAACGTATATGTTCTTCAGGGTAGAGTTGCTACTTTATAACATGCTTGTAAGACACCCAGAGCAACAGAACCCTAACATCACCTGGGCTCAAAGTGCTGCTGTCCTTAGAGCTGTATCAAGCATGAAGTAAAAAAATAAAATAAAATAAAATAAAATAAAATAAAATAAAATAAAATAAAATAAAATAAAATAAAATAAAATAAAATAAACAAAAAATAGAGTGTATGAATGTAATTTTATAAACAAAGGAAGATGGGAAAGGAACATCAAACTTCACTCAAGAACTAGTGTTTTTTACAGTCCAAATCCCAAACAAGTCCCAAACGGTACAATAGAGTAAACTTTGGAATAATAGTTGGTGGTTTGAGAAAGGCAGCTCTGCATGAAAACATTTCACAGTAGCAATCCTAAATTGCTCCTTTTGTTAATGAGACTGGTTTAAAAAAGTAATTACGTAGCTTCTTTTAATCAATAAGAAAGGATTTCTTGCCATGTCTCAATACTGCTTAAAAATCTCCCAACTCAGTCCATGAAAATCTGTACAGATTTATAGCCAGCAGCCATCCACCTATCAAATACTGACTCAAAATGACCTTAAAAAGTCTCAGAGCTTTTTTTTAATATATATATATATATAAATCAAACACCATGCTCTAAAGGATCCTTGTAGGATGTACTGCCCCTTGGGACTGTCAGAGGGCTTTTGAATTTCATCTCCAGCACATGCTCCAACATGCTGAGAGGAGTGCAGAAAGGAGATCTGCAAGCTTCATGGTCTGGCAGAGAGGTATCTTTGCACTTGTATCTTAGACACTTTCACGCCATAGACTATTAGTCAGGTTTGAATCAATTATACAAGTAAAATCCACGGCCATTCCCTAAAGTTGATTACCTTCACCAAGAGATTGATGTCCTCTGGAGAGAGCAGGGGAGAGGAACCCTGCAGAATGAGAAAACTATTATATGAGGCAATATTAAAAGGCATCAAAATATGAGAAAATTTCCTATGGACTGATACTTGCTTTTTTCTTGCACTGTCCAACTTTGAACCCTCTTGCATTATAAATATGCAATATCATACCTGAGATGAACTGAAGTTTTCATATACAGGAAATGCAGTTCCTGCAGAGAATACTCCAGACTAGCGCTAAGAATTTGCCGTTCAAGTGTTGTTTTTTATGCAGGCATTCAATTATTTTCATACTGATCCAGAAGTATCACAGGCATTTTTACCATAACCCCTTATAGGTTCTTATTGTTTTCCCAGCTGCTCTGTCTAGAAGAACAGCGGGCAAAATGTATTGAACTGCTTTCCAGAGGTGAGGTAGGAACTGAGATAAAAGGAAAAACGGAAGCACAGCTGAAAAACAGTATTTGAAGATGTAACAGAGAAATGAAATCACATACTGGTTTTCCAGGAGGTCCCCTTTCCCCTGGATTTCCAGGAAGACCCTACAGATCAATAGAAATAAAAATCTGTGAGATTATTATACAATAGTACCCTGACTGCTCTCACACACTGTTGACTGCTCTGGACTACCACACATCCCTGCTTTCTGTCACTGAGATCACTTCCACAGGTTTTTGCATGCAGCAATTAACTCCTTCAAATTACCGGCGTCATTAAAAGGGACCCTCTCATTACTTTGACATTTCTTAATTTCTCCCTTTTGAATCTTACTTATCTACAGAATCAGTCACAAAACAAGTCTCTGCTGAATTCTTATATCCAGCTGGCTCATGGTATCTGACTATTCCAGCACATGCATCATTCATTGCTATTGATTATCTTAAGCTACATATGAAATACGTCCTTTCATAACTATCTATTTCATGTTTTTGAGACCATGAACCACTTCTGTAACTTCTTTACTGATTTCACAGAATCACAGAATGGTTAAGGTTTGCAGAGACCTCTGGAGATGATCTAGTCCAATCCCCATGCTCATGCAGGGATACCTAGAGCACGTGGTACAGAGGACATACATGTTCTAAATCACCATTTTTATCTCTATGGAAGGTTTCGTTTCTTTTTTTTTTAAAAAAAAAAAAACACTTCTTATTTGTTTTTAGTCTGATCAATAATCTGGCAGGAACCAGCTGGGGAAGCCTCCAGGGCAAGGAGATTCGCTGCTCAGGATGCTAGTCAACACTTTGAACCATATAAGTAGCGTCTCTCAATTAGACTAAGCTCAGCAAGGTCTCCTCAGGGGAAATTCTGAGATTGTCCAAAATTTCCACCTTTCAGAATTAGTCGGATATTTTACTGGGAAGCAGGCTGAGAGTTCTGTCAATCACCTTGTCTCAAGTTTATATCCACTCGCCCATCAGTCCTACATGTTATCTACTCAGACAACTAGATAGGGAGTTTCTAGGCCACACAGAGAATTAATGACTTAAATGCACTGAGTGTGCCTACAGGCACAGTCCAGAAAACCTGTCACACCACAATTAGAAATACAGGACTAATGTAAAATTCTTTGCATCTCACTTCCAACTTACATTCCATACATCTTGCCACAAGACAGAAAATCTGAAACTAGTTTGAGGGTTCTCTTGCTATGTCCACATTAAACATTTCTAAGTGAACAACAAGCCTTCTACTTGATGGACAGGAACTGCAGTGGAGCTAAAGTGGAACTGAAGCATTATTGAAAGTCCATGGATGAAACTCCTGTCTCCCGAGGAACTAAACCACAGGTGAGAATCATAAGAAAGTAAGATCTGAATGAGATTCTCCATTTATAACTCTTTACAATCGTCTTTTGGAGAAACTGAGGTGTTTTGATAAAACTCTGCAGCTGTTTTTAGTTTTGATGCTTCTACAGAGCAGCAATGCGTTAGAAGACTGTGATATGTTCCCAATCACAGAAAAACCAATTCAGAAGTGTCTTTCCCATAGCTATAAATAAACTATTTTTACTCTAGAGCTTGCTTACAGTTCTTTTGCTTAGGGATCTGAAGCATGATATGGAAGTATGGTTCGAATTTGAATATTTAAAGTGGATTTATTTAAAGAAGGAAGGGACATGAGAAAAGAAGACAACGACATCATCCAAAACTGAAATCCTGAGAAATATTTAAGCATGGCTTAGATATCTGTGTGCCAGCAGAACTATTTGAGACAAAAGGAGATAGAGCTATCTGCATGAACACTGTGTGATGTGGAGCTGGTGGTGTCTTTAACAGAGGCAAATAAGCCAAGCTGAGAAATAAAGCTATGTGCCGTGGCTGATGAACCTGAAAAACACTGGGTATCCTGGAAAAGTCAAATGGTTGAAAGATACAAGAGTGCAGGAGGAAAACATCCTTTGAAGAATTCCTGTCTGATACAAGTTTAATAAATCAGGTGTGGAACGATGGCACTGTGGCATGTTGCATTATCAGAGAGCAGGCAGCAATCAGAAACAGAGTCCAAAGCAGAGGAGGGACTGCTGGAATATAGAGGCCCAGAATTAAAAAAAAAAAAAAAAATCACTCTTGGCTATTGCCAAGCTGCATACATCTCAGAGCAGAACGAAAACGCTAGAAGGAAGGCAGGGTGTAAGTGCATCTGACAGGCTGAATAGCATGAGAGGGAAATGGAGAAGGACAGAAAAAATAAATAAAGCATCTGCACTAAAAACTGCATGGCACTGGAGAGAAGAGCTGTTGATGCACAGACCAAACTAACGACCATCATTCAGAAACCTCATAAACTCCTGAAAAACAGTTGAGTTTTAGAGCCAACAGGAGCTGAGATAAAGGGGAACATCAAATAGGAAGACTGTTGCAGTGCACCAGTGTGGGGAAAAGAAGTTAGAGATGAAGAGGTATGATGAACAGAATCCAGAATACTCAATGCGTTTGCAAAATCTGACACACAGGAACGGCCTCAACCTGGACACTGACGGAATTTGCATGTGACCAACCACACAGCAGTGCTCAGATAAATAATGGATTTGAAAATAAAAGAAAATGCTTATAAGGAAGCCAGACACACAAGCTAGTAAAATTGAAGACTTATAAAAGTGAAGTACTATTAAAAGACTGGCAATTACATAAAAAATGCAACAGCTTAAGCAGGTTATAGTTTGCAGGAACAAAAAGCCAACACGAGGTTTGGTAACTGTGCTTTGATTTGTGGTGTATGAACTTCAAAGCAAACACAAAGGCTCATTGGTTTTGACTCTCTAACTAGATGAATAAACTCACCATGCAACAGAAAACTCTACTTTTCAGACCCAAAGGCACTAATGTATGTATCCACAAAGCTTTCACAATTATAAAAATAAATGCAGGATGAGATTACCTTCCTAGGAATACTAGAACTTAATTACCAAAATAATTAACATAATTTTTAAATTAATTAATTCAATGTTTATGTTAATTATGATTAGCATAATCAAAAAACAGAAAGATTCTATTAAATAACAGTAGGACAAGAGAATGTCTTAGTGAGACTGTATTTTAAAGGAACTAGGTAGGCATTTTAAAACATTTTCTCCTCCTGCAGACAAGGAGAGGAGTATGGATACTTTCAGAGAAATAAGTTGAATTATTTTTTGCAGCTCTCAGAGCATGATATGGATCTGGGCAATTTCTCCAAAGAAGGCACTAAAGGCTACACTTTTTTAATACTCAATACAGGAAATATTGCCATCTTGAAATGAGTTTTGATTTTTTCCCCTCACAGGAAAGTTCAATAAATAGTTGAAGGAACCGAGGGTATGAAAGCAGAAATGATATATAATAGCCCTGTTGTGGAGCAAAGTAGACTTGCTACAAAGAAAAACAGTAGAAAGACCATACAAAAGCACAAAGAAGGTATTTGTTAGGCTTTAGAAAGTGGGAATTCAGCTAATTAGACAATATGCCAACTTACAGACATGAAAATATTTACACATGGGAGAAAGATGGAAAAGAAAAAGATGGTAGCAGATTCAGTTCTTTGTTTTACCCCAGAAGAAGAGAGCCTCTAGCAAATGACTGATATAATGAATTTTGTGGGGCAGTTCATAGAAATAAAAAACAAACCTCATGCTAGAAAAAAGCCAAACATACACAACTGTACTGAGAACCTAAGAAAGCAATTTCAAAATCTAAAGTTTAATAAAACAAAATACTATCCTGTGTCTTTAACATTTGATCAAACTACCAATCGATGTTTCAAAAGGTGATCTGGCACTACTGCAAAAAACAAACAAAAAAAGAATCATGGTACATGCTTCTAGGGCAACAGAAAGAGGCTGGGATGCATGCAAACAAAAACTCATCTGTTGACTTAAATAAAATTACTCTGGTCAAACCCAAGTATTCGATATTCCGCCTCTGGAAATGTAGCTGCAACTCTGATTTGACAGCATCAGGGAAAATCATAGCTTATAGCAGACACACTTTCAAGAGCATCTCATGAGTGTGCAATCGGGAAAAATAATGCAGTGACCTGATGTACATAAATATGACTTAAAAAAACTATGTAGTCTCAGGAAAAAAAAAAAACATGGAATACACTAGTACAGGCCACAGCAAAAGACAAGACATTGAGGAAAGTCACTAAGGCTATTGCAACTGATTAGCTTGGAAATTACAGTGCAAGTTAATACTAGCATTTCAAATGAGAGCTTTCTCTAACTCATGAAACACACTATTTAGACACAGCAGGGTGCAAAAGTGGATATGACTCAAATAGTACAGGAATGCTACGTGGATGTAGAAGAATGCAAAAGAAAAACCCGAAATACTTTGTACTCATCATAAACGAAAATGGAGATCAAAAAATTGCAAATGCATGATTTTGTCAAACTAGGTAGCTCTGTTGTTTTATCAAGAAACATTAAAATATGCCCTGAGGTATGTGTAGTTCTATTTACATAACCTGAAACACAGGTAGAATCACTTCTCAGGTAACTGGTCAGAATACAGAGAGCTTCTAAAAGACATATGGAGTGCAGTCAAAATAGTTAGTGTAATGGAATGTGTTTTATAAGTACCATAATAAATGGTAATGTTAGAGTAACTTTCTGTGTGGCAAAGTAAAGATTTAAAAACAGTGATACCGCTTCTCCAAAAGCTGACCAATGAATGTAGATCTGAGTAGAGACAGAAGAAATTCAGAAAAGCCAGTTTCCTCACACAGTAGACTTATAATAAACCCCTCTATTCTATCTCCTATTTATGACCTCTTGGCTGAAATAACTCAACTATCTTGAGTTAAAGCAGAAAACTGTAGGGGAAGTCAGGACATGCTGCTCAGGGAGAAGGGGTAATGGAGACAAGAGATATTTTCTTCCATGATGGGGTGTTTAGGAATACCAAGTGCCAAAAGAACTGGGTCATAGAAGAAGAGCAGGGGTCTAGAAAACAATATCTTCTTCTCCAGATGCTAAGGGAAGTCCATACCAAACTAGGGAACATCCTTTAGGCTAACTGGTGTATTTCAGTGAAGTTGCACTAGAGATGAAAAACCCATGCATGGACTTCATGAGAAGTGGCACCCATTTGATGCCATTGGGCATCAAAACATCACAAAGCAGCACCAAGGACACACCATAATAACTGTTCACATCACAGCATTCACAAGCACAAACGCAAAGATCCAGCCTTTCAAATTCTTCTGAGTCACTCGCAAGGAGTCTTCTCCCACAACTGGTTTGTGTGTCACTGAGCTGGTGACCAGCAGAGAAGCTTCCTCTTCCCCCCGCTGACTGAACACTGTGCCAAAGCCAGGCAGTGAGAGGGGTCAGCCCTCCAGCTGGGAGCTTGTCACGTTTTCCTCTGTTCCTCAGCACCATGACTCACCCGTTGAGATGGCAAGAGTTAGAGGAACATGCTGAGACAAGGTTAAAATGTCATCTCTCATGCACAGCATTGGCAGCAAAATTAACTCAGACGCACAAAAAAAAAGCTTTTTAATGGCTGCAGTCCTATTTCATAGAATTATTACAGACAACTTATTTCAACTGCTTCTGAGAATTTCCTGAACAGCTTAATGATCATCCATTTGTTGTGTGGGATCACTCCCTAGTGTTAACTGCCAAGTGCCCTCTCTAGTGTCACTTTAAAATGTCTCACTGATAAGGCTTCCACACGTGTCTTGAGGTTACTCTTCACCCTAATTACTTCTTTCTTTCCCCTGATGTCCTGCCCAACATGTGAGAGCTCCGTTTTTGTGAGCCAACTCCCTTGGATCATCCTATTAACACTCAGTGACTTCAGTTCAATATGACCATAATTTTTTAAAAAGCTACATTTGAGCACTCTTGAGCTTTTATTTTACTCACATCGTGGCCAGGAGGCCCTTGTGGCCCAGGAATACCAGGTACACCACGAGGACCCTGGTAGGCAAAGAAGAAACAGACTTAGCGAAATGAACAGCAGTATCAAGTGACTGTTAGCAATGACTGCAGTCAGAGAGGGTTTAAGAAAAAAAAAAATGATCCTATTCTGCGCATCACAATTGTCATCCACTTCTGTGCCTCAAAGGACTTTGTATGAATCACTAAAGTGAAGCTTTACATTCTTTCATTGGAAAAACAATAATGAATTTTCATTATAGGCAGGCAGGTTTATTAACAAGGAGAAAATATGATTGACCACAGGACAAGAGAGCAGAAAAGGTGCCAGTCCATCAGCACTGAGCTAGTACACATGGGATGGGCTACAGTGCCTGAATTTCATGCTAGGGGATAGGAAGATCATGGTATCCAGTTATTTCTTCCACACTCATGGACTGAATCCTTTTAAAACTATAGATTTGTGAATTAGGTTTGTTCTGTGAATACTCAAAACAGGTTATCTGTAAGACTTAAGCAGGCAAAATGCTTAAAAACATTTAACTTTAAACCTCTGAGCAACCTCATCAATTACAAAACATACAGTGTAATTACCTGCCTCAAAATACATTTTGTGAATGAATGTTTAAACCAGTAACATATTGTTTCCAGCTTTGAGTCCACCAAGAACCTGAATCAATCCTCTCTCACAAACCTCTAAAACAGAATGGTAGTTGACAATATAGAAGTGAGGAGGTCAGGAAACACTTTGGATGGCCTTGTGACAATACCATCCTTAGGCAAAAAGAAACAAATTAAATATGCATTTACAAAAATCACAAAATAAAATAAAATAAAATAAAATAAAATAAAATAAAATAAAATAAAATAGCCCCCTCCCCATAAAATCTGTGTGTAGTTAGAAAGACATACTGTACCAATGATCCTTTGTCTCCTGGGGGTCCTACAGGGCCCTGTGAACAGAGCAGACACAGCAATCAAAATAGCAGCAGAGATCAACATTAACATCCCACTTCGCTGGGGTCAGAGCTGGCTCCAAAGCACAAAGATATGAAAGAGTAGAGAGGGATAGGCCAGGAAAAGGAGCAAGTTTCACAGGACGCTCACCTGGGCTTGAAGGATGAAAAGACAAAGCAGATTAAACGGAAAAAAAAAAACAAACAAGAAACAGAAAGATAAAGGAAATGTCAAAGCTCAGATTAAAACACGGAAAGAAAGTCCAGTGAGCGACTGCTCCAGTCAACCGCTCCACTGCTGATCAGCCAGAGGGGAAGAGTGGGATCAGGCCATTCTCATTCACATTTCTGTGACTGGCTAGATCTGTACAGGTGTTGATAAAGGTGCTGATCCTGCTCTTCTCCTCCAACTGTCCTCATGCATGGCTGCATGTGCGTGTGTCTGTGCACCAAGTGTGTATGTCCTGGTTGGGAATGTGTGCTTAGCCTTGCTCCAAGATGGATCTGAGGATGCAGAACTGCAGCTCTTGGACTGGGATGTGGCAAACCTCCTGGGTCCCAGAGCAAATTGTATTTATCCCCTCTAACACAAGGATAAACATCCCAGAGGATGAGCAAATTCTTCAAATAAGGTCAAAGTAGAGAGTTCAGTGCGGTTGTGTCTGTTATTCATCTGGGGATGCAACTTAAAAAGGTACAGTTGAGTACACAAAGCTCACAAGGAGGCATGCAAGTTCTGTAGGAATATCATAAAAGTGATGTATTACTCATAATGGGCAGGGATGAATCAAGGTGGTATCCAAACATATCCAAAACAAAGCTTGACCTCACACCTCTGGAATTGTGCTTAAAGAGTATTGAAAAATCCAGCATTAAGTGTAGGGACAGCATGAAGTTAGATTTATCAACCGGTATCATACAGCACTCTGATACACCATTTCAAGTTAAAATCTTGTACTAACTGGGAAGCTATTGTATTTAGATAACCCTGGATAGAAACATTGCCTGGGGGACTGCCTTTACTATTCTGACATAGGCATAATATGAGGGGGTGTACAAAGTGTTGTGAAGAGTGCAAGGACTCTGGTGTCCTCTAGCAGCTACAGCTAGGATTAAAGTTTGCTTCCTCCTAAACATGTTTTGCTTGCACATTCAATGCACATTTGGAAGCACTCTTAAATCTCCACGATCTCAAGAGAAGTCATTCCTGACAGTAGAACAGTCTGATCTTCATGACATAAATATCCAAACCTTTGGGGGCAGAATCCCAGATATACCTTGTGGCCTGCTGAAAAGGGTGCAACCTCTTGCTGAACCTCTGCAGGGAAACTGGTGATGACGGCTTTCTTAGAACACAGCCCTTCAATCAGCCTGGTTTTGTATTTATCAGAGCAGTGGCTGTGTCACTGATGTGGACCTGTGTGTCACACCCATCCCTTCTAATGGGGTGAGAGCAAGGTTAAGTCTCCCCATTAGCCCAATCCTTGTGGCTCAGCACAGATCTCAGATCACATCCACCGCCAACGCGCCAAGATGTTGCAGGAAAGCCACAAGTAACACACAGTGATATCAATCACTCTGATAGCACTTTCCTGCCTTTCTCTTTCAACTAAAAAACAACTGCATCAGGAACCCTCGCAAAACCTGTAGACATCTGAGTCATGAAGAGCCGCCTCTGGGACAGTTTGTGATTTGCACATTCAGTGCCATTGGTTCTTGGCACAGCTGAGCACAAGGAACCAGTTGGCAATAGCTGATTTTTTGTCTCGTCACAGGCTGCTACTTACAGGGGGTCCAGCCAGCCCAATTCCTGGCACACCTCTATCTCCTGGCTGCCCAGGGAGGCCAGGAGCTCCTCTCTCACCCTGAAACAAAAGGAAGAAATTAAACAGCAGACAAGCTTTGTGCACTGTGGAGGGAAAAAAAAAAAAAAAGATGCTGCAATGCAATACGGATTTACAGTGAAGGGTAACACAGATCCTGCACGGATCCCCTCCTCTAAGCTGTATCACATTGAGACAACGCAAAGATGTGGGACAGTGTCACATTATGCCACAAATTCTGCCTCCCCGCTGCAGCTGGAGCCCCAGCACGTACACAGTTACGATGCACAACACACAGCACTGTGGGACCGCAGCCTCGACAGCCGGGTGCACAGCACCCAACCTCCAGCAGCTCACCTTTTAACAGCAAACTTTCAAATTGCCTGCAGGCTATTTGGCCCTGCTCATGGTTTGAGAAAATATTAAGCATTACAGCTTTCCTTTCTCTACACTTCTGTGGTAGGCAGCAAATAGAGCTAAATACAGATTATATATCCAGGGAAGATAGAATTGGAAATGTTAGGTTACATCCTACTGTTCTCCTTCCCTTTACCAGGACAGGTCTGTTCACAGCAGTGTATTAATCCTTTTCTTATTATTATTATTAACAAATAACCCAGAGGATCTATGACACTGAACAGCAGACTATATCACAAATGGAGAGACCTCACTTCTAGAAGACTGAATTTTCAGCAGTAAAAATTGCAAGGCACAGACAACCATTTGACACTGTTAAATGGCAATTACAGACAGAGGGTTAGGAAAGAAAAAGAATGTGTTGAGCTACAGTACTTAAATTTAACGTCTGTTCTCTTGTTGTAGGGAGAAATATCAAATAAGATTTTTATTGATTGCATTGCAGTTGTGAGATTCAGTCTCATGTTGGCAGCAGTCTTGGACCTTTTTTATGTTATTTATTATTATACTATTCCCAGCTATTACTCTAGAAATTGTTACCCATGGATTCTGCCTGCCCAAAAGTCTGTCTACAATATACCTACAATCTCCTACTCTTTCCACCCCCCTGACTTTCCTTCTCTTTTTTTCTTTCTTTCTTCTTGCACTAAGTTCTGTTTATAAAGAAACAGTACTTTGGTTACAGCAAATATCTTTTGATTAAAAGACTCAGGTAGATTCCTTATCTGTTATTTTGTTCTTAAATATAAATTCAGTACAAAAAGCTCAATAATATTTTTCCATGCATAGTTAAAATTTCTAGCTTCTCACCTTGATATTGAATAGCGTATTTCATTATGTTTCTTTCAGTGATTTTTTTATTTTTTTATTAGTTCTTACACTATTATTATGCCTGTGTTCTGAGCTGTGAAAGATATATATGGGGTAAAATACATTTATATAGAATGCAGTAAAACAAACGGAAAAATTTCAGAGTAGTTTGATTATTTCAGAATCATGGGACTTAGATGAAACCTCCACTTATATCATTTTACATAGTCTGTTTGAACATCTCACTTATCCAAACAGTCATTTTAATTAAAGATTTTTGGTCTTATCTGTTTAAAGATTCAAACAGAATCCAGATGCCCTCAGAAAAAGTATTTTTGTTCTTTTATTCCCTTCTCTACTTGCTATGCACTTTTAAAGGAATAAACACTAACTTCAATTGAACAAATTAGTGCTGTTATCTTTAATCAACTAGCAAGTCTTTTCCTTAGCTACAATACAGGAGAGCACATCAGTCCTATTGAGAAATAATAGATTTTCTCCTTGAGACAGGTGAAGGAAATAAATGGTACAGAGAAGTGCTCTTAAAAGTACTGACAGGTGGTCTCAAGTGTTGTTCATCCTTTAAGCTATGCCAACATCTCTCTTGTTGCACAGATTAAAGGTCATGAGGGGCTGTTTGCTTTGAAAAATCATGCAGCATTTAGCCCTTAGTCTTAGTGTTGAACTCACATAAAACTGGAAAAAGAAAGTAATGTGAGAAGTGAGCACAGTCAGCTCATGTCTTGATATGTGCATCTACAGAGATAGTGGAAAAGTAAAAAAAGGAACCTCCTCCCCTTCTCTAAAAGGCTAGGAAAATTTTGAGTAAAAGTGAAAAACAGACCAACTTTTTGTCATAACTTTTCCTCTGGTTCTCATAACGCAGGAAAGTAGTTCGCAATAAACTAAGTGCTCACCTTATGCCCAAAGGGTCCTGGCAAGCCTGGTGGGCCTCTTTCTCCCTAGAATGACAAAATCAAAACCAGAAAAGAGTCAAAACACAGCCAAGTAGGAGCTTTCCCCTTTGAGAAAGTCAAAGTAAAAGGAGCCTGCATCACTTCACATCGCCCTGACAATATTTTACTGATAACTTGTAATCATCTAAGTTAAATAAAAAAACAGATTAAATAAATAACCTGTTAACATTGCTAGAATTATATATTTTATGAAACTTCTTGCAAGCTATGCATTTTTGTATCAGTCACACGGACCTATGTATCCATGGCGGTTAGCCCCTGGGGATGTCTCCATTCCTGATGGCCAACATGGCACATTAAACAGAGTTTAACATTCAGAAATAGAGCATCAGCTCTTTCTCCCTTTAGATGACGTAGTAGGATCCACAGCATTTTGAAGCAAGACAGACTTTGATATCTTCAGTCTACAAGAACTTGTGACAATTCAGCCTAAATCTACACCAAAAAAATTATTTTTGCCCTGCAGAAGTCATGTATGTCCAGCTCACATCAAACCTGTTCTTTCTCAAATGCAGAACTTGCCAGTAGTTTACCTGTTCTCCATCTTTACCCTTGCCAGGTAAACCAGGTTCTCCAGCAGGCCCTGGTTGTCCAGCTGGACCAGGTACACCTGGTTTTCCTTCTGTTCCTGGATCACCCTGTAGAAGACAATCCACCAGACCTGTTACTAACACCATAAAGACCACTCATATACATATATATATAGATCGTTCATAGAAACTAAAAGCTACGCATTTTTAGCCTTTTACTTTTTTCTTGAAATTGTAGGAAGTCCTCTGCTAAGGGAAAACTTTTCCTTAAGTAAACTCAAGGTATTTTTGCCTTAAAAAAAAAAGGGGAAAACAGTGCAACAAAGAAACAGTTATACGAGAAAAACTTTGATTCACACATGACCTTGAAGAATTTTTATTCAGACGAGGATTTTAAGTCAACAGCCCAAGGTGTCAGAAGAAGGAAAAAAGGTGTTTTTGCACTGCAACATTGTCAGAAAGGCATCCTTAGCAAGTAAACTCTCTGCCTTCTCTCCTCCATCACAGTCCTGCCTGTTGAAGCTCAGGGACCCATTAGATATTTTGGGAGAGTATATAATTTATAGCTGAGTCAAGGACTCAGGTGGATCTTGGTTAATAGGTAACACTATTTGACAGGAGGGGTTGGGATGCATCCCCATTTTGAATGTGTATCTTGAATATATGAAGCTGTGTTTCTGATTAATTATTTATACTTATACTCTGGCAACCAAAGATCAGTGTTCCAGAGTGCTAGGTACTGTGTAAAGTAAATAACAAATTGCAAATCCCTGACTGCAGAGAGCTCACTGTCTAGCTATGAGATGGCATGTAACAGTTTGGCAAATCAGACGAAGGAAAACAAGAAAGCTGAGGTAATGGCACAATTACAAGCGCTTATCAGGAAAGCAGAAATCTGTTTTACAACCAATGAAGGCCACTTTTCCTTACAGCTTTGGATTTACAGTGGTAAAAAGGCATCTCAGAATGCACACAAAACATCAAATCCTCACTCTGGTCAGGTCGTGACAGCAGATCATCATCATTGCATAAAGGTGTTAACACTGTCTTCACTGCATCCAATTCTGTCTTAGTGATTTTACTAGGTAAATTAGAAAGGCACAACAGGGTGAAATCCCTATAGCATGTGTAATGAAGAAGGCTAGACAAGATGATCTAATGAGCTGTTATCTTCTCTAGGTCCATGAACCTATGAAATCACTTCACATTCAGACTGCTTCTATTGCAGGTTATTTAAACTGCCACGGTAAGAAAAAAGCAATCTGTGAAAGAACAAACTCACCTTTTCCCCCTTTTCTCCATCTTTTCCTGGTAGTCCGGGGTCTCCAGGCACTCCCTGGAGAGAAGAGCACTTTGAAGCTTAACATTTTCTTTTTAGCAGTATTTTATGTTAAAGAAAATGGACAGATCTATGTGGTCAGTACAGTATATCTCAAGGATTAGTATCAGTTTTACCCTTCCCAGTTCAGACAACCTGTAATCCAGGAAACAGCACTGAAGAGCTGTGCACCAAGTACTTAAAGGAGTTACTTTTTCCAATATAGAAAAGAAATGAGCAGCTAAAGCAAAAAGTGAGTTAATCCCAGATTTGTTCATTCTCTTTTCATCAACTATTTTTTCCTTCTGTGAAATCCTCAGCAGTTCCTGGTACATTACAAGAAAACCCCAAATCATCATTTCTGTATCAGAGAAGCCAAATGTCTCACAAGACTTATTTTTTATGTCTAATATTCTCCAAATGCATGCAATGGAAAACTTAGCTATGTTTATTTTACCATATATTTTAATTTTCAATCGTTTTCATGCTGAGGCACATCTGAGAGGATTACTTGTCAAAATAGAGGTGATTTAGCTCCAATTACTAAAACTTCATAACTCACTAAAAGGGGAGCTTAGCTTTACTGAATGATTCTCCATTTTAAGATGATGTGAAATGATGATTTCACATTGACTTGACTTCAGCAAGATTGGACTTACTTCCTCACAGAACTGATGCAGTAATTATTTTCTTTTCTGAGCCCATAAAAATGATATCCAAATATCCTAGTTTTCATAGGTACAAATATACCAAGGGCAGACTCAGAAGTTTGAGTAAAAGAGTATAAAATGGGAAAAGGTCTTCACCTTGCATATTAACTTCCATTTTGAAAATAAATCAATGCATTAATACAGGCAAATCAAATGTAGAGAAGAAATCAGTAGAAAGCTAAACCAGTGTACCTGTAAGCATTGCCGACACTGGGTCTAACTGCTGCTTTTCACTTATTCCAGAGTAAATCCAGAGCAGCCCCAAGCACTATAGAGGAGATTACACTGATAGAGCATGGAGTAAGATTTACTGAAAGATTTCTACACAGACCA